ATCTAACCTAAATTTCCCTCTTTCAATTTGTACCCATTTTCCCTTTTCCTGTCACTCCTAACAAAGAGTCCCTTCTCCAGCTTCCCTGTAGGCCTTCCAGACACTCAAAGGCTGCTATGAGGTCTCCACACAACCTTCTCTTCTCCAAAGTTGAGTGAGCAAAGGAGTTGCTCACAAGGCTAATCCCTTTGGATGGTTTCACCCCTTCAGATGGGTTCCCCACTGTTGATGGAGGGAGCTGCTCACTTGGACAACCCAAACCCATGTGCTGCAGGCACAGCATTACTCCACCTGCCACTGACTCACCTTTGTTTTGCTTCATTTCTTTCTACACAATTGTTCTTCAATAAATTGTTTTATTTTTCATTCATAGATGCATAAAGCTCACCAAGAAATATGGCCCAGCTGACTATTAATGCATAATATGATATATTACTATGAGGTAAAATACTGACTACACACACACATGATCATTCATAGCAATTAGTGGTTTGTCAGACTCCTGAGAGTTTAATTACTCACAAATGTCGAAGTTACAGAGAGAATAATAGATAATCCCCAGCATCACCTCAGTAAATGTCATTACCATTGAACCAGCATTTGTCTTGGTTTAGGTTTTCTTCAAAAAAAAAATCATGTTTTTGATATGATTAAAGGAAAATTATTTTTGTCTATTTTTAGCTTTTTTGCTCCTTTCTGCTTTGAAGGCTCTGGTTACCATAAATCTAATTGTACAGAGCTCAGAACCCTGCAAACTGCTCAAATAGCTTCTCTTCCTACCTCTATAGATGAAAGCATGAAATGACCCATTTTTCCTGTCAGCTCTTTGGATCTTTGTAAAAGCACCTGGCTGTGGCTATTGACCAGATAACTTAACATTCAGGTAGTCCTCAGTACAAAAATATTAACTTGCTCTGTACAACAAACTAGCCTAATTTTGTGCCAAATGCACTTTCCTCCTTTCTGATCTCAACACTCTTCTCTCAAGTTTTCAGCTTAGTATTGTCACTTGTTTCTGCGCACAATGAAGTAACTTTCCTTCCTGTGAACAGAAGCTCGAGCTGGTATTTATCATCTCTGCAGGCCTGGTTTAGATTCTGGCTGCCTTTGAACCTGCTCCTGTCAATGCCATGACACTAGGATCCAACACCTACTGATTGAGCAATCTAAGACCAAACACCTTTTGTATTTATTCAGAACAAAAGCATCCAAGAGAGTCCAAAAATAAAACTCAGCAGCCAAGGCTCCCACTGCAGAATTTCTTTATATCAGTCTCTATCAGCTGAACTTAGCCTTCATATGACCTTTCCAATCATTCTGTTTTATTTGCTTATTTGTTTTCCAGCTGGATAGAGAAAGGTCTGAGCTCTGAGAGGGCAAAGGAGATACCCAAACCACGGCCCGTCTCCCTCTGCCTTGTGATTGCTCCCTCCAGTGCTGGTTTGGATCATTCATTTAGACCCACAGTACTCTTCTGGTTTCCATTTGACACACCAAACTAGAAAAACATGACGTTCAAAGAGCTTACAGCCAGATTTATTAATAACCTCACCTGACTGTGGTCACACTCAGCGTTAGGGTTATTTACATGGTGATTCAATTCCATTACAATTCACAGGCTTTTATGGCTCAGACAAGCACAGACTATAATAATTTGCCATTGAGTAATAGAATTAGCTTAATTTAATCATGATTAAAGACATATATTGCTCATGACAAATAAAATTAAACCCAGGGGAGAGGGAGTAGAGCTGTGTAAGTCATCCCAGTGCACCAGGTTCCCCATCACAGTATTAATGCTGGGAATTGTCCTCTGGAAACAGAGAACTGGTGCAATCCTTGCAGTGGGCAGAGCCCACAAATGCCCATGAGCACAAAAGATGCTTCAGATTTATATGCCAGCAAAATGAGTCAGATATACACAGTGGCATCAGTCTACTAAGGAAAAAATGCAGAGGTGCTCTCCTGTGAAATCACCAGTATGTTGCGGCACAATCTACTTATCACATTTGAGAGTGTGTGTGTGTGTGTGTGTGTGAATCTGGGATCACGTACCTGTGGTTTCTCCATTCCAGAAAGAATGTCTTGAACCCTTTTTGTTTCAGAATCAAATTCTGTAAAATAGAGAATGGGGAAATAGAAAGAAAATAAATTACCAAGATGAAACAAAAAATGTCAAGTTATGTCAATAATTCTTCAGGAATTCATAAACAGGGGAGAGAGAAAGAGAGAGACAGACACAGAGAAAGAAAGAAAGAGAAAAAAAAATCTTACCCGCACAAAAGCATCAACTGTTTTGCTCATGTGAATTCAAGGTATGCAGTTACATAGATTTATATTAAAAAAAATTATAAATGAGAACAAGAAGGGAATGAAACTTCAAGTAACTGCAGATATTCAGAAAGATGGGACTATTTGTAGACATGTCCTCCACAAACAATGTTATTTGCTTTACAGAGCAAAACCATCCTGTTTCCAAAGCTGGGCTATGG